GCTCTCCAGTAGCTTCCTGCCCGCTGACAAGTGGGCAGCTGTTTGCCTTGCTCTGGGAGCATTGTCACAGCTCTGGACCCTGGAAGGTGACTTTGATTCCTCTGTTCTCGTGGTTTCAGGTGCTGTGGTTCCAGCTCTGGTTATTGAGTATGTGCCCACCCTGTCTTTGGCACTTTAACCTGGGTGTGGGGGCTGCCTGGCAGGGGCTGCTCCCAAGAGATCTCWGAGCACAGGAGCCTTTGCTTGAAACATTATGAGAACTGAACAGGCAGGAGTAATCCCAGACTCAGGTATTTGTTGTAAGAGCTTGCCAGAGGAAGTACCTTTTCAGCTTCTAACTATAGTGTTGCTTTGTAATTATTCATTTGGATGGAAAATTCCAGCCTTCTAAAGGCTATCCCAGATGCAACTCTGCCAAGAAATGCATTACATGGAAAATAATAAAACTCCTATGAATACAGAGTCTCCAGGTGAAATTGGATGCTGAGCATACTGTTGGAAGCAGTCTGAGCCTTGTTAAAAGTGTCCCAGTGTTACGGGGCACTGCTTCCACAACGCTGCTGGGGCTCTGRGTGGCCAGGATTTCTCTTCATGTGGCGGGGAAGGAGAAAGTTCCATACAGGGAGCTGGGATTTTAAATAATGAATATCTGCACAAGGCACAGGTCAGTCATATTTTGCAGATTTCTCTGCCCTGTGCTCCTCTCTGAATCTTCATGAATTGTATTTCTTATCTGTTCCCCCCGGTTTGTTGATACTTTTAACATGAGGGAAAACTATTTTGATATTTCTCTGTCAGTTATTTTGACATTAATCAACACTGCAGATCTTGTTTTGTTTGGTGTCTGGGTACATCATAAAGAGAGTTGCTGAAAGAGTTCAATTACAATATCAGCATCTCTGCCAAATGTATTGAGCTGTTCTGAAAAGCGGCTTGTCTTTTCTGACCCAGATACACAGTTTCCAACTGTGGGAGATGCTGCCAGAAAGACTCTTGGCAGAAGGCCAGCAATAAAATTATACTGCAGAAAAACACAACATATTTTCAGCAGCACTTTGTGTGGTGTGATGAAAAATTACCTGTCTTCTGAATGCAAAGCAGAGGCTAAAATAAACTTCCAATTTGAAGTTGCAAGCCTCTTATTCTGACTTTTGAAGGTAACAAAAACCGACATAAATTCCAGTTATTTTCTGTTTCTGTGTCTGATAAACCTCAGGCTGTGTTAGATACTCATTGCTTTGTTATTAGCAACCTCTGTTGTTCTTGCCCCTCTGTCAGTATAAACTCTGTCTGCTCTTGGGGTGCTGCAGTTCTCTGGGGCAGGTACTGGTGCCAGGGTAGATTAGGGAGGTGGAGGGTGTTTGTAATGCTTCAGCTCAATATTGTTAGCGTGTCCTTTCTTGATGGAGCATTTAAAACCAATTTTCATGGTGTTCTACTTGGCCTGGCCAGGAGCCTGAAGAGCAGCTCACTGAAGTGAGGGTTTGGAGCTCTGGTGTCCAGTGACCCCAATTTCCTCTTCTCTGTTGCACCAGTAACRCTTCTGTGCAAGGTGCTGCTGCAAGGAGATACTCAGGTGCCAGGCACAGTTTGTGTCTCCTTTCTAGAGCTCCCTAATTCTGGTATTTCAGTCCCCGTGAAATGCAAGTACCTGCTTCTCCTGCCTTTTCACTTGTCTGTTCACAGGCACTCAGAGGCAGCTGAGCATATTCATCACCCCTGGCTGTTTAACTGTCTGTCCCTTGGGAATGCACTGCAGATGCAGGAATATCTCCTACTACAAAAGCCTCATCTGAAATTCTTTTCGTTTGTCTTGAGCCAAAGCATAAACTTCCTCTSTGAAGGATGAGATGTTTAATGGAAACGTTGCTACACTGTCATGGTGTTTTAATAACATTTCTAATGTGTCAAATCCCCAGTGATTTTAAACCACACTGCAGACTCTGCTCGGCTCCACTGTGACCCGGTTTGGAGACAGAGTTTATTTACTCTTGTTTTACACTTTAGGGACACATGATGCAGAGGAGAARTGACTTTTTCAAGGTCACCAAAGTGTCGGTGGTGCCAGAAGCTTCCTGTACAAGTTTTCTTGCAAGTGTGGGTGGCAGCCCCTGGGTAAGACAGCCACAMATTTAAATATTGTGCTTTTTAGTCTGGGCATCAGCTGTTACTTCCCTGAGGATGCAGGTACAAATATCCTGCTATAGTCTGGTACTGGAATGAGGCTGTTGGATTTATGGAATTGCTGCTCACTTCAYATAATGCTTTCTGATGTATTTGGTGCTGAGCTATGTTATGCTGCCTTAGTCCATATGGTTGGAGCAGATTTGATTTTGGTTTTCCTTAATTTAATTCTGTGTGCTGTCAAATGTACTTTATTCTGTATATTGTGTCTGCACTTTTATAGTAAACTCCCTCCTGTTTAGTGCTTTTGTTGAAAATGTTCTCTCAAAGTCTGAACTAAATTAGGGTTTCACTCCTATGCGTGTTTCTGAAATATTCGTAGGATGTTAATGACTTGGAAGACATCATGTATCAGTTTYAACTAAATTTTCAGGATTTTTTTTCCAGCTTTCTGAATTTTGTAATAAAGAGCCCTTTGTAATTCAGCTGTCTGTGCCCTGACTTCAGCCATGCACTGCTGAGAAAAAGGGCAGGTAAAACAGAGCTCATAAATACCTTCATCTAACAGYCTTGTCACTGAAAACTGAACCTGTCTTGAAAACAAGAAAACAGGTCACTGCCTGCTAAGGCAGAGTATGGAGAGGTGTTGGTGTTTTCACTTCATCAGCCCAGAGAGATGAACCCCCATCGTGGCTGTGGAACATTCATTTCCAGCYTGTCCAGGATTTTCCAGGAACCCTGAGAAGCGCCTGGCACAGGCAGGAGCATCTCTGAGGAGTTTGCATTTCCAGAGCTCGGGGCTCTCTCACTTGCCCTCCAGACAACAGCCTGCTCAGCACTTACTGAGCACCAGAATTTGCTCAGCCAGCTATCTCTGTCCATCTGCTTTCCAGAGCCTGGGCGAGCTGATACGCAACAGCTTGCGGTAGTCTTGGGAGGGAGGCTGGGCTGGAGTGTTGCTGGAGTCTGGAGACTTTGTACTGGGCATATGCTGAAGTCAGCAACACATTCCAGTGCCCTTCTCTCTGCCTGCAATTGCCAAGTTACAGCTACAAGAGAAGATAACAAACTGAAATGTGAAATGTGGGAGTGACAGGGAAGAAGAGTAGGTGAAGATAGCTGGAATTCAGTTTGGAGAGAGAAATAATTTGAAATGGATTATCTAGAAATGTGTCTCATAAAAGTGTCTCTAGTTTGCTATCTGCTGACTCAAGTTATTATTAATATTATTAAAAAGCCAAACAGCCTTGTAAAGAGTCTGGTTGGGTCTGGAGATGGTGAAAGGCTGAGTGTGGAGCAGCTTATGACTAGCTCACAAAATAAATACTGCCCAAACAGTGATCTTTGCTTAGTTTTCCTCCCAGCTGCCCATCTGACTTTCAGGATCTCTTAAGAGAAGGAACATCCCCTTCCTTGATTGCTTCTGGGAAGCAATTTGATTGAGTATTAATACACCTTGGTGGGCACAGAGCCTCTGTGATGAGAAGTGGGGTCACTCAGGGTTTTCATTAGCTTGATTTTCCCAAGTATTTTTAGTATGACTGCMCTTAACTCTCTTGGGGTTTCTTCCTTGGCAGTTTTCAGCTGCTGGAACAGACAGRCCCCTGCACAGTGTTCTTGCCTGGCTTTTTGTTTTACCCAATTCTGCATCCTAAATTCAGTGATGTGACATACAAACAACTATCAGGCCTTGCTGCCAAAGCTACTGGTCCTRTAAACCTGCTTAATTCCTTCCTAACTAGGGAAATAGGGAAGCAGGATTTGTTGTTACCTTTTCCCTTGTCACATTCAAATCTCCGTGGGTTGCAACATTTTAATTATTCCCTGTCATATCACAGGTTTAAGTATCTCCTCAGCTTTCAAGTCATCTCACCTATCCCTCTGCTGTTGCCAAACATGCTTTTAATCTCTAACAATGTCAGGCTTCTCTGACACAATACACAAAGCATTGCTGGAGAAGGGGGGTGAGCATACAGGAGAAAATGAAAAGGTTTGTGTGTGTGTGTGTAAATCTGCAGAAATTTACTGACTGGGTCTCCAATTGCTTCAAAATGCTSCTGGAGAGCTGATGCAACAATACGTGTAGTGAAGGGAAAACAGGAATTTTCTGYAAGGACTGGAGTGTCTTGCTGTGCAGTGAGCTTATGCTTTCCTCTCTCACACATACCTGCTCTGTTATTCTGCTCTTCTCTCTCACAGAGCATTTCTTTGCAGTTTGATGCTGCCAGTGCTGGTGTTGTTTCCCTGTTTAGTACAGAAAGGCTGCTCTTGCAGGATCTTTTCCTGTGTGCTGGGAAAGGCGGTGTATGGGCAGCAYAGGCAGTGTGGGTGATTTCAGCTCCTCGCCAGTCTGACGTCTGCAGTTTGTTAGAATGTGCTTGTCTGTCTTTAAATAACTTGCACTTATTGCAACCTGAAGCCTTGGTTCTTGTGCAGCATCTGACACAGGATCGAGGGCTGCACTGGGGATTTCCACAGAGAATTACTTTTTGGTAATTAAATAGAGTATGTTTGATTTATAATGTGCATGTGCCACAAAAAGAGAGACTTCTTGAGGTGGTTTCACATAGACCATGTTTGCCATGTTGGATTTCCTGTCTTCTTCATCCCAAAAACTGAGATTGCCAGGTGGCTGACAAACCTCCATGGGATCAGCTCTAACTGGCACGGGAAAGTTGTTACATGTGTGTGGGCACATCACAAAAAGTTGCTTTCCACAGTGACATCTGTTTGTTCAGATATAAATGGATTGGTGACTGTCCCATCTGGAAACTGGTGTGCTCTGATCAGTGATTGGCCTCGATGTGCTGCATCCAGCACTTCTGGAATCAACATGCCATCACTRCTGGTTTCAAGCTGTTTCTCTCTTTTTGCAGGTGAATTAGAGRAAGTGACTCCCAGAGCACCTTGGCTGTATGAACTCTTGAGCTGTCAAAGGACTGAGAGGCTTATGAAGAGGTTCTGTCAGGCAAAACAGTGCTTAGCAAAGACACCRAGGAGGAGGGAAAAGGAGAAAGGGAGAGAGAGAGAGCTGCAACACTAACAAACCATGGTAGGTACTTGTTGTCTTTCAYTGGGGTGCATTGAAAGTGTTTTCTGCTGTCAGTCTTGCATGGGCCTGATCAAACCTGAGAGAGGGGATTTTCTGACCTTGCGCTAACTGAGGGATGGTACTGTGTGCTTTGAGCAAAGCAAGTGAGGTTTGATCTATTGTCAGCCTCTTAAAGCCAGAGAGTGTTCTTGTGAGCCTGCAGTACATGAATTATTAAATACCAACCAAGGGGATACTCATAAGGTTTTCTAATAAAACTGGCCTTAGCAAGCTGTAGCAAACAGCATCAGTGACCTTGAACTTGCAGATTTCATTACCACATGCTCACACTCCCCTTCCACTCTGCCTCACAAAAGCAGATTTTGATTTTTCACATCTGTGTGTATGTGATTGAATGTGTCTCTGTGCACACTTGGTAGCAATGCAGATGAAATGTGTGTAGCCAAATATACCTGGTGTATATTGTGTAAGTGAGGAGTCACTTCTCATCTCTGGGTTTGGCTGCAAATTCAAAATGCCCGAGATGTGAGATTTGTAAAGGTGTTCAAGTATGAAGTATTGTGATAGTGAGATTCTGAAAATGCGTTCACAAAAAGGCAATAAACTTACTCAGTTCCTGAACAACAGCTGTGGAGAGCAGTTTAAGCATATTTATATATTTTTAAGCCCTCTAAGGTTGTTACTGAGAGAATGGAAATGAGAATAAATGCAATGAATTTTAAATACAGTTGCTAATGTTCATGTGGCTGGTTGCTGCTGGTAGGCTCTGTGTTTATATTTGTATTAAAAAACAAAACAAAAAAAAACTAAACCAAGACTTCTACCAGTTACAGAACGAAAGAGAGAAAGAACACTTTGCAAAGCAGAKTTGCTAATATATTGTATTTTAAAGTGTCCCACTTTGTCATTCTTTTTGGCCTGAATTKTAATGAGGAATTGATCTTGTCAGCYSCTCWTCATTAGAAAAGAACACRGGTRTCTCATAATTAGGAGTTAGCAGTTTGTTTGTGTTTCACTGCTMTAACTGACATTTCCTAAGGTAAGAGATGGCGGGCGAGTTGTTAAATGCAGCTCTGGCTGTACCCATGTTGTGCATAACCACAAGAGGGACCTCCTGGAAGCGTTTTGCAGCCTATCAAATGACAGGGGATAAAACCAGCCCCCRAGGGGTGAATTGTTACTGCCCAAATTGTCCATCTGGGTAGGAACACAAAAATTAGGAAGGGAATGATGTCATGACCTTCAATGGAAGAGACACAGGGAGTGCAATAAACCAGGAAACCGTGGACAGCTCCTTAATAAGGATCCAGCCCAGAGGCCTCTGAGGTTGTTCAAAGGCCCCTTGTGTCCTACAAACCCATGAAGTAGTGGTGAAAATRGCACCTAATTAGGATGCTTAACATGTAGGACGAACAGAGGGGTTTGGTGGGTGATTCCAGSTTCTGGGAGACTTCCAGGAGGCTTTCAGCTGTGACTGCTGTGCCTGCAGAGACCACGACTTACTRCTGCTCTGTGATTGCAGCTGGTCTGGGGCACTGTTTAGATCAAAAAAGTCTCACCTGAATAGTCTGCAGCAACTCCAAAASTTCCTAGCATGGGTTACCAAACCACCAAAGTTCACCTCCCTCAACAGTTTCACTCAGGACTGAGTTTCACTGCAGACTATTTTAATTAGCACTCTMGTATCCTCCTATTCATTTGAATGCTTTTAAAAAGAAATTTCRTATCTTCCCATTTCTCTTTATTCTCCTCTTCATTCATGCCTTTGTAAATCCCTGTGCAGTGCTGAGCCTCTCACAGTTCTGTACTGTCTGTGACTGGCAGCAGCAGCAAACCCTGAAGGGTTTGGCTCTTTGACTGCCTGTTCCAAGGTGTGCTGGCTTAATGCTAATTTTTTGCACTGGTGTTTGTTTCCTTTTTATTTTTGAAATTTATTTCAATAAATCACTTCTGCATAATTATAAGCAACAATTGTCCTAAAACACATTATTACCTCTGCCAGGGAGGATTCCCATTCAATGTCCTATCAATAACCCACTAACTTTGTTCTCTTTTCCTTCTGTTTCTCACTCCACAACAGAGATCGATCCGATCTTTTGCTAATGATGATCGCCACGTAATGGTGAAACATTCAACCATTTACCCATCTCCAGAGGAGCTTGAAGCTGTCCAGAACATGGTCTCAACAGTAGAATGTGCCCTTAARCATGTCTCTGACTGGATGGATGAAAAGAACAAGTCTGCAAAATGTGAGGGTGATGTGGAAGCCAAGGAGGAAGCTGCAGAAGGCACTGCCAAGTGAGTGAAGCCTCAGCTCACAACGTGTCCCTGTGCTGCTCTCAATAGCTCCTTTCCTTCGAATAAGAGTTGTAGTGTTATTGGGTTTGCTGCAGATGAATGTTCATAGGAGGGGGATACATTTGGACTTTGTGAGGTGGGAGCACATGGGGGCAGTGCAGGGAATGGCAGTAAGCCCAGCGTGGGCAGCAGTTGCTCCCCATTTCTTTGTTTACTTTACTGGGATGTTGTGAAGTTGCATTTAGCACACAAACCTTGCAGCAGTTTTAAGCAAACACACCAGTGCAAATCGACARCCATGTGCTTGGGGGCTCCTGCAGTCTGATACAAAAAAGAAGTTTTTATAATCCAGCAAACTAACTTTCCTGAGCCTCCATTACCTTCCTTTATTGTCATGGTTTAATCCTAGCTGGCAGCTCAGCCCCACACAGATGCTGATTTTTTATAAAAAACAAATCCAAGTGTGCAGTAAATGCTTTATAGACAACTGGATGAGACAAGAACTGGTGCTGCCCTGTCAAAGAAGCATTTCTTTCATTTTACTCCATGTTTTTAAACAATCCTARTCTACAAAACTGTTTTTTGTCTTTTTCTCAGCACTTAAAAATTAAGTGTTCCTATGGTTCTTTAAAAATTCTTCATTGTGGCTCTCAAAGGTTCCCTTAAACTATAGCTCGAGACTAAAATCCCATTTTAATTACCCTAAATTGTTTCATTTCCAGGGATCAAGGTGGTCGGACGTTATGTGGCGTTATGAGAATTGGCTTGGTTGCAAAGGGCTTGCTGATAAAAGATGATATGGATCTGGAGCTGGTTCTCATGTGCAAAGAAAAACCCACAAAGACCTTGTTATGTATCGTCAAAGACAATCTCCCAGCTCAAATTCAGGTGAGTCCATTTGGAGCACTCCTCCCACAGTGGCTGATAGCACTGCAAGGTCTATTTGGGGAAAGGCTGGAATTTGTTCCAACAAGAAAGACAAGTGATACAAAGGAATATACTTTGAATCTAGGATGGCATCTGGGGCGTGTAACGTGTTTAATGTGGTGACATGGAGTTGTTACTCACAAAATGTAACCCTTACTGCTGTTGTTGCCTTCTCCCCTTTGTGCTGTCAGTTCCCTGGGAGGGCAGCTGACCTTTGTGTGTGTAACTAACCCAGTGTGGCTTTGGGCTCTGTGGTCCAACCAACACGAGCTGAACTGCAGAAATCTTCCCTGCTCAAGTGTGACTCAGTCCCTGTTGTTGTCCCCTGCCTGAACCTGCAGTTCCCCATTGCAGCTGCTTTGCTTGGGCTGTTGCCACACAAATCCCTCTGTGCTGCTGAGGTGAGAACGTGTCACTTTAGGTGGTCACTCATTTTGGCTCATGTTAATCATGAGCTCACATTATTTTTATTTATGGCTACTTAATGCTGCAGCTTGTTTAGGGAYACCACCTCTGTGAGAGTTCTGGGGCTGAGGAATCAGTCCAGCTTCCAGACTCACCAACACTGGTGCCAAGGAAATGCCCTCAAATATTCCTGCAAGTGCCCCATCCCAAACAAACCACAGSCAAACTCAATCTGCTCTTCTCCTGATCTGCTTTTCTCCCCGTGTTTTGCTATTYGTGACAGCTGTTTGTTCTCACCATTCATTTTCTCACACAAAGGGCTTGTTTTAATGAGCGAATGTTGTTCCTAGAGATGTGGCCCTAYCCATAGCTAAAAATGCAAAGGATCTTTTGAGTAGTAAAGAGTAAATTTTACTTGTTTAAAAATGATAGGGATGTATTGAGTATTAAAGGGTAAATTTTGTTGCGAGGCATGAAATGAGGGTTCAAAGTGAGAAGGAAAGTTAATACATGCTTTGAAAAAGTGAGATGAAAGAATGGGCATAATTAAAATATGTGAAGACTGAATAAATTCAAGGGAAAGGCAGGTAAGATCCTGTGGGGGAGGACTGCGAGGGATTACAGAAAAGATGAGAGGACTCTAACTTGTGAAATGCTACAACTGTTGTGGGCATGGAAGACAAGGAGAGGCTCTGCAGAGGGATCAGATGCTGGAGGCAAAGGAGGGTTTGGGGCCATTAGTGGACAAAAGGAGCAAGTGAGGTACAGAGATTCAATAGCTTCTGCTTTGCTGCTTTGAAGGCTCATGGTGAGCAGATGCTCAGTCATTTTCATCCCAACAATAAAGGAGCTGGAGAGCAGATTGCAGCACGGAAGGAGTCAGAATAGACATCCTAACCACTGGTCTGCTGAACCAAACCCCACACAGAGGGATGGCTGGAGAACTCTGAGCCACCTGGGGCTGTCCTTGTGCTTTTGGAGGTAGAGAGAGATCCCAAAGGGCTGCTGAAAGACCCGCAGAAAGATCACTGCAGAGAACTCTGATACAGTGCATGCTAAYGGAGCAAACTGTAAGGCAGTTGTAGCACTGCCTGCAAAAGAAAAGTTTAAATTGTTTTTAATGAGGGAGGAAAGGCCGCCTTTGTTATTGCAATGCCCTGTAGCCTTCTCATTAGCTGAGGCACATAYACAGATTCTTCACTTTTTCAGTTGATTGGGAGAGTCTTGAAATCTTTCTTGGTGACTTTCAGAAACTTACAGAAGAGAAGTATCTGGTGGAGGAGCATGTAAATGAGGCAGCTATTGTTATCCATAACACAAAGGAGCCCAAGCTCACTTTGAAGGTGATACTCACATCCCCTCTCATCCGAGATGAAGCAGAGAAGAAGGAAGGAGGTACACAGAGCGTTTTAACTTGGTTTTAAGACTGTTCTAGCTACATGTCCTGACTGTGCAGCACAGGATTAATTGGGAAGTGAGCTTTTAATTGTGYATTATGTACTGACTAGACTGGCTATTGCCACCATTGGTTACATTATTTCTGCCTTAAAAAGACAACAGTCACTTAACTTTCATGTAAATATGCATAGTTTTCCTTTGCAAGCARTATTTCTACAGTGTTAATTCTGACATGCAATTAGATCTTAGTTCTGCTTTCTTTCAGACTTGCTATTTAATTCTTGAGCACCTGGCGCTGCACAGTCTTGTTTGCAAATTAAGTCAGTCAAGTGGGATTGGTTCATAGTTTCTTGAAAAACTCATAAAAATGTTTCTCTTTATGTAAAAGCCCTCTCCTGCAAAGCTTGCCAGTGTGTCATCCTGGCCCTCAGATTTTATTGACTGATGATGTGTATGTTTCTGAATTTAAGAATATCCTAACTGGGATACAATTGAAGTTACAGTGCTGTGATACAGCAACTTTTGCTTCTGAACTGAACGTTGTACCTCATGTCCTTAGAGTAAAATAGTTCTAGCAAACTGTCACTTAGTCCTTTCYGTTCCTTCTCCCTCACCGCGGTGTCCGACACAGTTCCGCTGCAGGAATGGTGACTGTAGTACCAGTGAGGCTGGAAACAAACTGACAGCAATAGAGAAGAGCAAATGTAGCCATACTTTACTGTATTTTTTAAAATCTTGTCGGTAATTTCTGCTTCCGCTTCCCAAACCTATCCCTAGAAACTTTGCCACTGGATGATGTCAGACCTTTGACCAACTGGCCACTCTCTGTCATGACAACTGAGGCAGCTGGGCCCGTGTGGGCTAGGGAACTCCCTGTCGCTCTTTTCCCATCTCTAGACTTGCCACAAGTCCTTTGCTTCCTCCCTCTCCCACGTGGAATACCGACGGGATGAGAAATGTTGGTCAGTTTGCCCTCATTTTGTTGGAGGCGATGGCAGGAAGGATCCCTTTCCAAGTGACATGTACCACTTTGGCAGCAGCTGAATGCAGAAAAATCTTACAGAACAGATGAATGGCAAAGATCCCCTAATTACACTGGCTGTTTATTCTCAAATTAGCAACAATGCTGTTTCCAAGACCATTAAAAATAAACTGCATATTGCTTTAGTTGTTCAGCTTCCCACAAGATGCTGAGACCAGCCCTGGAGCTGCTGCAGCTCATCCTTGTTCATGAGAGAGCACGAAGTGCAGGACAGGTTTCGATGGTGAAGGATTTCTGAGATTCTCACAAGGGGATACAATTTTGCACAAAGACTTCAGCCCAAGGATTTCTTGCAAAAATTGATGCTGTTATGCCAGTGAAGTCCAGGAATTTCTGAATTAATYTCAGATTAAGGAAGGATTGGAAGTTTTATGATTTCTCATACTTAAAATGTAGGTGATGTATTTTTTTTTCCAGTATCTTGAAATATTTTTTCAATGGTCTCCACTATATTTTTTAAACTTAAAATGGTTTTACCACCTCTCTTRAAGTGGTTATACGCTGCTATTCTGTGCAGCTGCTGAGGACAGGGAACAGGGTCATAGTTTTAACTTTRAAGCCCAGGTTCCTTGGCATTGGTTCACCACAAAGAACAGACATTTATCATATTCCTTTTCAAGGTATATGAAGCATTATGCAGATGTCACCAAGTAAACTGAAAGGGGGGGATGCATTTTTTTGTAACCTTTCCAACCATATTTAGATTAGAATYGGCTAGATTCAGACCAAAAAAGTTTCATATAACAAGGGACAATAATTGGAGAAACTGGTGGAAACACCTTGATCTCCAAAGCACTGCCATATTTTTTTCAGTACCACTGAACAATGTCAACCAAATGTAAATACACTTTCTATGCAGTTTTAAAAACCTGTCAGTTGGCTGCGTGCATTCTTTTGAATGAAGAAGCTCAAARTGCTGCTGAACTTGCCTTTCATCTTCCATGTAAGATAGGCCCGGTCTGCCTGAGCCTTCGGAAAACTGACCAAGGTTTCTGTGGTGGGATTAGCACTAATCTGTCCTCTAACAACCCAGGTCAGGCCAACGGCCCTCATTACCAGTGCTCCCATTGTTCTGTAGGAATGCTGTGTGTGCCTTCATGCCCTGATGTCAGAATGTATTGAAAAACATTCCTGGATTTCTCTTCAGTCCCTACCTCTTTGGAAAAGTGTTCATGTTTAAGATGTGGTGTTTGTCCTATTTGTTTTTGCTGCTCCTTAGCAAAAATAAATAGTGGCCCAGTGTGTGTGTGCATTTTGGTGTTTCTCACAAACAGCTACCCATAAAGCTCTGCTTTCTCATGTTGAGAAGTCAAGCACCTAAATTTTCTRCATTTTGCATCAGTTTAAATTTTGAACGCCTTAAGAAACGGAATTTTTAGTCATAGCATCAGACATAAATTGGGCTTTCCAGACCAGAACCTTGTAGCTTGAAAACCAGTTGTTGTTACTCAGCATACAGTAACAACAAATTGTGTAATTACAAACAAACTGGTTCACCAAAGTGGGGCCCAAGTGCCTCTGAAGGGGCAGCAAGCTCCATCCACACTGAGCTCCCCTCTCTGGAGAAGACAAAGCTCCTCATATGGCTCAAATGAATGGAGTTGGCAGCTCCCGTGTGAAGAGAATGCGTACAGCAGTGGGGACAGAATTCCTGAGGGATTGGTTCTGTGTTGCATAGTGTGAGCTAATGTCAGGGCTTTAGAATTTACTCTTTACTAAACTCCTTGGATCACTGCCCTTTTTTAAAACTACAAGGGGAAAAAGGAAAGCTTTGCAATGCCATTTGAAAATTTTGATTTGGTCTCACTTTCCTGACTGGCAGAGCATGAAGAAACATGCCATTCTCCCGAGGGGGTCCGAAGGGAGCCCGCTGCAAGCCGCTCGCCCTCTTCACTGCCTGTTTTCCTCATCTTTCTGTTTAATAGAATCTTGCACCCAAAAGYTGGCAGACTGCAACATCAGGACACTGGGGCTGAACTAGCAATTTCAAGATATTTGTAAATTAGACCTTGGAAAATGGCCTTAATCCTGTAAGAAAAAGTACAGTTCTAAATTGTGGAAACAAATCTTCAGAGATTTTTGGTTCACATGAATGACAGGTGACATGTATTCCCTTTGGTTTGAAGTTTAAAGGAAAAATTAATTTACCTTGTCAAAGGCTGCAACACTCTTTAGCAAAGCCTCATACAATACTGAGCCCCAGTTCATTGCAAAACATTAATGATTTTGCAGTCAGTCACCTTTGCCATTTCTAACGTTTTAAAATAAGATTCTGATCATTCATTGACAGTACTTGTTTGATACAATACTTGAGCTTTAAGCAGATGTTTATATTGTCTGCAGTGAAGTCTTCTCAGAGAACTACCCAGATGGATGTTGAGTAATTCTGTGCCACAAATTATCACTCCTGAAAAMAACGAAACTGCAAAGGAAATTTAGAAGCAAACCTTGTGTTCCAAAGTGACCTTTTGTGCTCAAAGAAAGCCAGAGCTTTGAGACTTTGCAGCTTTCATTTGGAAAACASACAAGAGGAGTGATTAATCCCAATTCTGGAATGCTGTTGATGAGGGCAATAACAAACAATGCAAATATCTGCTGTGAAGTTCACAGGGGTTAGAAAATAAGCCTATAGCACTTGAGTCAGCAGCTGTGAACTGCAACCATCACCTGTCAGACAAGATACTGGTTCTGTTCAGTTTTACACTGGTGGGGTTTTTTGGCTTTGGCCTTTTTTATTCATCGTAACATCCAGTGTTTTTACCAGAGTAACCTTCCCAAGGAATGGCTTAGGAGAGGCAGCCTTAACACTGAAGATGCAATTGCTTAAGCAGCCAATCCCATTCAAAGTAACCATGAAAATGTACTTGGCACTAACAAACTGATGGCACRTTTTTCTCCTAACTTGTCCTGATATTTTAAAAGTCTTGCTGGATCTTGCTTATCTAGCAGAGTCTTCAATTTGGAAGGGATTTAGTATTTCATTCAGTTCTGCAAAGGTCTCTAAAGACCTGGAGAATTGACCATKATGAATAATGGAAAGAGTATATTTCCAAATTATTTTAGTGAGGAGTAATTATGAATACAATTATGTATTCACAGGAAAACAATATGTTGAAGTTTTTAGTTGAGCCATGGATTCACTTCGCTATTCCAGTTATTCTCAACATCAGCTAAAACTAGCATCTTTGTAATGTGATTTCACAGTTTGCCCGCAGGATCTGTCATTAATACAGAGTTCCAGAGAACCTGGATGATTAATCCTTTGGATTAAAATAAAATAAATACAGAAGAAAGGACTGATGGAGAATTMCCTTTAATGTAGAATTGAGTGTGACTGCTAAAAGCAGTTTGTTACAAGCTGACTGATATAGAGAGAAAGGGGGAAAGGAAAAGAAGTGTAAACCTGGACAGAAAATATCAGTGTCTTGTCTCTCAAATCCATCTTTGAACTTCCTCTGTTGGTTTCAGTTGCTGTTGGGCARATTTTTACAAGAGGGCACTTCCTCTCAAATACTTTAGTGACCTGGAAGTTACCAACCCACTCTTTCATATGCTCTGGTTATATGAAAGACTAATCAAACTAAAATATTGTACTAGCATTTYCTGTATATTTCTTTCATTGAATTATACTGCTAGTACTGGTCATGCAATCGTATTTCAAATATATTCAATGTTTTTCTTTGAAATTCTTAGCAAATGCATGGATATAATTTCACTTTCTATTACTTTTTTTTATTATCCCCTGAGAATATCTTCCTCTTGTCCAAAGAAGCTTTCAAATTCTGTGCCACCTTTGTGGAATAAAATCACAAAGAATGGAAAGAAGAGGAAAAAAGCCCAATACATCCCAACAGAAAAAAAAAAAAAGGAAAAGTGCTATAGAGCTATTTTCTGCCCTGAAATGTGTTCTACATTTTTAATAAGATCCCAGATTGTCTGTAGCAGTGGCCATCTTTATTATGACTATTATTTTACAAGGAGTGAATGCCTTTGCTTCTGTTGCACACGTGCACATTTACTACCTTTAATGGCTTGTTTAAATTAAATAACATCGTGCACTTAAATTCTGGGAGTCTTATTATCTCATTGAGATGCTGCCGCTCTTTTTGTATTGTGACAGAAACCCCTTGGTCAAATTGTATCTGTCTCTTTTTATCCCATTTTTACCAGTAGATAATGTTGCGATGAAAGATCCTCCGGACTTATTGGACAGGCAGAAATGCCTGGAGGCCTTGGCGTCTCTGCGGCACGCCAAATGGTTTCAGGTTGGCTCTTTGTTCTTACCTTGTTGTTATTGTAGCCTTGYGAGGTTTAATTTGAGACAGTTTTAATTTTAATGCCTCTGTAATTTCTGATTAGTCCCTCCTAGAGCAAAGGTCTAGAATTCCAAACCCAGTGTTGTACTGTGCRAGGGCAAACGTGACAGGGAGACAGTCAGCTGGTCCAGAGTTGTCATGAGGCTACAAAAGCAGTCYTGACATTTCGCTGCCTTTTTTATTCTTCTCTCTAAATTCAAGTGTTGTACTTTTATCTAAGTGTTTTTATTTTGCATGAAGCTGATTAGGTATTAAGTAATAATAATTTAAAAAAATCTATCCCAGGACTCTGTGCTTTTAAAAAGAAAAGCAAAATTGAAGGCCAGGCTTTTGCAGGTGTATTGGAATCATTTTGTTTGTTTTAGGCCAGGGCAAATGGACTAAAATCATGTGTAATTGTCCTTCGTATTCTGCGGGATTTGTGCAACAGAGTCCCCACATGGGCACCACTGAAAGGCTGGGTAAGTACAGAAAGAGCTGAAGGTCAAAAGGTCATGTCTCAGATCTCCTGAGAGTTGTAGCAGTGTCTGGACTGGAGAAAGCMGAGTCTTGTATGAGACTCTTCCTTCCACCCCCATCCCTTTGCTCCCCATTCACTGCTCCTTGTGTAGGGCAGAGAAGGCGAGTAGAACTTGTGTGTGACACACTGGTCCAATGGAAAGGGACACACTGCTGTGGGCCTCGTGCATCCTGGAGGATTGGCAATAGTCTCCCACTTGTTGCCTTCCAACCCTCTTGTTTAGTTTTCCAAAACTATCCTGCTCTCATGACAATGGCACTCCTGCCAGAGGCTGCACCCCTCTCCTGGGGCAGATTTGCTCTGCTTGCCTAGAGAGGAACACGGCAGGGCAGCAAAGATAGTGCTTCTCTTGGGTGGAACTGAAAACCCTCTGAGAGAACACTCACCTGACTTGACTTTAGAGATCACCTCCTTTTTGACTTTTTGGGCAGACAGTGGAGAGCAGTTGGGTGTCCTCAAAAGGTGACACGGAGCAGGGGACAAAGACATGTGCCCTGCACAAAAACGTGGCCTCCTCTGGGTGGAGTAGGTCTCTGTCCCTTATACCTGTAATGGATTAAAAACCAAGTAACCTGATGTGAATGTTCGTTCCCTCTGCCCCCCCATGTTTAACTGCAGTCACAGTTACCCTTGTGTCCATACTAATCATAATTTAATGTTTTCTAGCCACTCGAGCTTATATGTGAAAAATCTATAGGTACTTGTAATAGACCTTTGGGCGCTGGGGAAGCGTTGCGACGAGTGATGGAGTGTTTGGCATCTGGAATTCTGCTTCCTGGTAAGGGGCCAAATGAACTCCAGGAACACAAAGGCTTGGTCAGGCAGCCTTAACATTKAGGTGTTGCTGTGGGATTACATGAGAAATACCTGCCATGAACTCTGAACCTGCTGTAGAGTGAAATTAATGGTGGTCACTGTGTAAATGATACTGCCACTGCAGGAGAAGTTAATGGGGAATATTAGATTTGTTTATAAATTAACCCCTAYCTCATTAAGGGGTTGCAAGTAAATAGACTTCATAATTATCTGGTTTCTACAGATTCCTTGAAATCTACAGACCTGTCCAAATTATTTGTTGGTTTTCTTCCAAACCTACAGCTTTCAGTTSATGTTATCACCCACGTGCAGTGTTTACCCTGATAAGTTCTGTGGCCACTGCAAGAGTGTGAAACCTCGGGTCAGTTTGCTTTGTGKGAGGCCTGAGTCCCTGCTGGAGAAGGGGTGCAGCAGCTGGGCTCAGCTGCTCTGTCAGTCCCTGTTTGCACACTGCCGCTCCTTCCTCTCAATAATCCCCGTTCCTCTCCCTGCCAGGGGGCCCAGGTCTGCACGACCCCTGCGAGCGTGAGCCCACGGACGCTTTGTCTTACATGACAGTTCAGCAAAAAGAAGCCATTACACACAGTGCTCAGGTAGGGAACTCATGTGTGCAGYAACAATGAGGAATCAGCTCATTAACATMATTTCTTCTMKGCCAGTGGGGCTTGTTTTCATGGCAGTCCWGACAGTTCACTGTCCTGGAAAGGTTAAATCATAGCTCAGGAGTGCAAGAGTTAAATGTGTGTGAAATCTCACCCTTGCAATAGCAGTGGGATGTCTGTGCAYCCACCTCTGCTCCCAGCACAGAGGGACTCCCTTGTCACTGTGCCCTGTGCTCTGTGTTACAGAAGTTCGTGAGCTTTTCCATCCACAGATATTTCAGAGGCCAGCTGTAAAAGCTGTCTTCTCTAAAACCACAGTAGTTTTGTGTCTTATGAAAAAACTTGGACAACTGAGGTGAAATCCTGCTGTGATTAACTTGTGTTTCTACTGTCCYTTTCAGCACGCGCTCAGATTATCAGCCTTCGGGCAGATCTATAAAGTTTTGGAAATGGATCCCCTCCCATCAAATAAGTCATTTCAGAAATATTCCTGGTCAGTAACTGACAAAGAAGGTAGGTATCATGTGTTCCAAAAGTCTCTAATGGGGCAGTAAACTAGGAGTTAATTTAGAATGGGTGAAGTTYTGAATTACATGCTGTGAATACGAAGTAGCAGCTTTTCTTTGTTATATGTGGGGTGGGTGATTTATTTTTTTTTTATATTTCATTGTGAGGAAAAAATCTGGAAGCAGCGTTCTCTAGAAATACCAAGAGAGGAGAGGCAGAACAGCTGCAATATAGCTGATGATTTTAAGCACAAAGTCCTTTTGCATCCGAAGAGCAGAAGTACTTTGATTCTTATGCTGGGAAGGAGAGACTGTAGACTTGTCAAAAAGCATATAATGAGCATCCATAATAAAAATTATTCAAATATTCTTCCTAGAGAACTATATATATCTAATTTTAAAAAAGTGTGTATTTTTTAAAAAACAATACTGTTGGAGCTCTAGCTTAGATTAACTGTGGAAAGCAGCTCTGCAGATTTGGAGTCCTCATCCCACACCTGGTATTGGACACAGGTCCTGCATGGCCTGGTAGAGTGAGCAGTAAACCAGTATTGGCTTTCGTGTAGCAATAAGAAAACTGTGACTGATGGATGAGTTCTTCTAATTATGAACAAGCAAGGAACAGTGTGGGACTAATCAGACTCCTGCTGTGGGACTGTGTTTTTCTAATGGCATAYCTGTAATTCAAGGAACTTTATACCCCAGGTACAGGCTCGTCTGCTCTGAAGAGACCATTTGAAGACAGTGTGGGGGACGATAAAGATCCAAATAAAAAGATGAAGCGYAATCTGAGGAAAAGTAAGTGCAGCACTTCTCCATTCTCTTTTCAAAGAGCTATTGTACAGGGGGAGCTGGTTTAAAAGCTTCTCTGTGTTAGTGTGGTAGAGCATGTGAAAAAGTCTATGGAACAAAATTGTTGTCTCTTGCCACCCTGCATTCAGAATGTCAAACACATCTCTTACTGTGCATCTGAATTTTCCCTGACATGTTTTACTAACTGAATGATTTGCATTTTTAAATGGGATTACCCATCAAGTTACACCAGAATTGAAGTTGCCCAAGCAGCTGTGGTATTTTACCAGTAACATGCCTGTACTGTGGGGTCTTTATAAATTACTGCAGTGACTTTGCAGAGTGAAGACTGAATGCTCTTCATTCTTCCCCATCCTGAGTTAGTTGCTGGTCTCTCAAGATCTCCCACAAGGAAAATAAAATGTGCAATAACATTAATGTTGCACATATGCACAGTCTAGAAGTCACTTGGCATTACTGGGATCCAGGCGTTCTGGGATCCGGTCATTCTGGGGGCTACTTTCATTGTGCTACTTGAATGCCAGTTCTGGATCTGGTTCCCCATTAGCTGTGAAACTTGTTACTCCTTTTACAACAGCCAGGAAGAATACAGCTAGCTGCAACAGAATGGTGTTAATATAAAACCAGGTCATTACAGTTGTTACCCCAAATTAGAATGGCTTATTAAAGACTTAACTGTTATGGCTTTCCTCGCCCTCTGGAGAGGCTGAGGATGGTTTTGCTCCTTGATACAGACAGAAGGCACTGAAATGCAAACTGTTTCATTTTTCTGTTCATCTTGTTTTGTTCATTTTCCTCCCCCTCCTTCCCCCACCCCTTCTACTATCTTGTACTAGTACTAGATAGTAAAGCAATAGATCTCATGAATGCTCTGATGAGGCTGAACCAAATCAGGCCAGGGCTTCAGTATAAGCTGCTGTCACAGTCTGGTCCAGTCCATGCCCCAGTCTTCACAATGTCTGTAGATGTTGATGGTACGACTTATGAAGCATCAGGACCTTCTAAGAAAACAGCCAAGCTCCATGTGGCAGTGAAGGTAAGGCAGCCTGAAGTAATCTGCTAACCCCAGATCTTGGGATGGAGTATGAAATGTGGTTAGAACTAGTAATATACAAGCTCAACATTGAAAAGAATTTCATTAAGCTGAGCTACTCGCTTTGTGCYCTAAACACAGCTGGGCGTGGTTCAAAGAGCATCACTGGTTTTGTGCTAGTGGTGGGGAAGAACTTCCCAGGGCTCTGCAGGTCAGCTCATGTTGTTATGGACWGAATGTGGGGGTCAGATTCTGGATGGGAGGGGCTCACTTGTGTTCTGTTCTAACCCTTCCTCCTGTTGGTTTGGAAATGGCATGTTGGTGGCTGCTTCTTCCTCCCCCTTCTTCTCTGTGTCCATTCCTGGCTTGTGATCTCCTGGAAATACAGAGTTCTGCCCTCAGTGTCTGAAGAATACCTCTGTACTGGGATAAATAAATGATGCAGATCATTTATCCTGTCAGATTTCCAGTAGGATACTGGTATCACTCAGGGACTGCTCAGCCTGCTGTTATTTCCTTAARTGCTCTGCATGACAGCAGGACAGACTGGAACACCCAACGTGAGCATCCACCAGATGTGGTGCGTGGGACATGGCTCAGTGGTGGGCTTGGCAGGGCTGGCCTAACAGACGGTTGGACTCGATCTTAAAGGTCTTTCCCAACCTAAACGAGTCTGTGAAAGAACCTCTGTTAATAGAGCTGCTCTTCTGATAGGAACAGGCCCATCTGTCATTCTGTGCCTCATTTTGTTTTGAACAAGAATTTCCTTTTTAGAATTTTCATGTGGCAACTTTCTGCTTCCCTTTGATTTCAGTTTTGAAAATCCCATTGTCCTACGTGCTTTTAAGTTCAAAGTGTCCAGAAGTATCTGAGGGCATGTGTTGTTCCTTCAGGAAAAGTAGCTCTCTGCATGTGTGTCCTTCCAGACCTTCTGCCTCATTCTTTTATTTTGCCTTCCTCCCTGCAGGCAGTAAAAAAAAAAAAAAAAAAAAAGCCCAAAAAACCCACTTGCCCTGAAAAACTGTGACTGCTCTGCCCTTGAACTTCTCTGCATCAGCCAGATCTGTGCTGGTGCCGACCCAGCTCTGTTTTCTCTAAATTTACACATCAAAACATCCGTGATTCAAGCCAAGAGGAAATGGGTGGTGTGGTCGAGACTCGCTTTTTTGTCTCTCTTTCTTTCCCTTCTCAGCAGATCCAGACCCTGCCTTCTCAGTCTTATAAGAGGGAATAACATGACCATTTCACTTTCTAATCTGACCTTTTTAAAATGTAGAAGCCCTGAAAATGCAGCTCGATATACCCCAGCTGCATGGGAACCGGACCTGGGTTACCCTGGGTTTACCCAGCTCTAGCTCCCAGCTCAGGGTTGGAACACAGCCTGATTTTTGCAGGGTTTGTTCTTGGGACTAAATTTTCAGCAGAGCTGCAGGTTTTCCTTTCAGTTTCCTTTGGCCCTGTRCATGGTAGCTCTGTACAGCTGTGTCAGGAAGGTGGTTAAGGGAGAGGCTGGCCTTGCTCGTGGAGGACGTTTTTGAAGGAACTGAGCTCCAGAAGTACCATCTTGTACTTTAATTCTCACATGAGAATTGTCACATTTGCCCCACAGTCCATCTCTTGCTCTGTCCATAGACACAAGAGGGGGAAATCCTGCATGAAACAATTTCCTTATAAGGCCATTAAACAGTGTCTTTAATTTCTTATTTTACAAGGAATTCTTGAGCTGATGAATGATGCTCRTGAGTGTCTTTGAGACTAAAATTCTGCTTTGTGTTGATTCCACTTTTGGAAACCTGAAATTATTTTCCCCATTGATACTGTATTCCCCACTGATAATCACTGAAATGGGTATCTCCATTTCAATTAGGAGAAAACTAAGATTCTAAGCAATCTGCCTTTTTAAAGTGTATGATGGACTGTTCTTTGTGTTGTAATTAGTTTTGTATTTGTTCCTGTTCTACTGCCTCTGTCACAGTTCATTTCATGGGCCTTTGTTGTAGGTTTTACAAGCGATGGGGTATCCAACGGGTTTTGATGCAGATGTGGAGTGTGTAAGTTCTGATGAAAAATCAGAYACTGAAGGTAAAAATGAAACAACATCTTCAATCTCAAGCAATAATAATACTGGAAATTCCACAGCTGACACCTCCGCTACCCTAGAGGTGAGGATTGCATGGAGAGTACAAGTGACAGAGAGGTGTGRGGTTTGGGGTTCCACTTTTCACTGGGATTTTTTTTGTGTTCTTGTACTTGTCAAGATGGTAAAACATGAATTTCTTCAGTTGGGAGAYAGTTTCCAGACAGTGTGTAATCAGGGATAACTCAAGCCACATACATGTTCAGTCCACAGAGAAATTCCCAGGGGAAGGGCAATGGAGTATTTTTAACGGAATTGCCCTGTTTTTATCCATAGCTGAGAGAATTTTATTGCAGACTGATCTGCTGGCATGCTGAGATCTCAGCTTTACCTTGCTTTCCAAACAGTTACAGATATTTCTACTCAAACTCATGACCCAGGGTGTGAGATTCCTTCAGTGTGAGCTTGGTAGTGCCAGGACATAATTAGATGGAGCAGCAGAGATGTGYGCAGGGTTGGGAAGGCCAGTCTCTCCTTTCGGTGTGAAAGCCTTCGATTTCAAGGAACTTGACACCACGGCCCCACCTTCAGCTTTGGATTCTCTCAGGGTTGCAATTCCAAGTGCAGATGGTGTCATGTTTAGTTTGTGCAGGCACCAGATCAGGCCACGAGGACAGTAGCCCTCACAACAGAAATAAACGGGTGTGACTTCTGTGACACCATTGTTTGTTGTCCTGCCCCTCTTTAGAGACTTCCCTTTGCTGTGCCAGCACTGCAGGTGATGCTGCAGCCAGGGAAGTGTTTSCTGTCATACGGGTCTGCAGAGGTCTGTCTGCCTTTTGAAGAGAGAAAGGCTCTGAATTAACACTCTGCATGTCTCTCTAGGTAAGAACTCAGGGTCCCATACTCACAGCAAGTGGCAAAAACCCRGTGATGGAGCTCAATGAAAAGAGAAGAGGTCTGAAGTACGAGCTCATCTCCGAGACAGGGGGAAGCCATGACAAGCGCTTTGTGATGGAGGTGAGTGGAGCAGAGGTGCAGCTGCTCAGGGGTTATTAATGGTGTAGCAGAGTTGCTGCTCGCATCTTTTCTATTTTGCTTTTTGCAATGCACATCTGTGGTGGTGATTTCTGAGGTTTTTATAGATCTTACTGCTGCTCTGATGACTCAGTTGGAGAAAGGAATAGCCTTTCTACTTTAAGAAAATACAGTGAGAATTAAAACTGGATTCTGACAGCCCCAAACTTCATGACAAGGAAGACTACAGGGTATGGGCTAAATCCAGTACCCAATAGATACACTGGACCTCTTTAAGTTGCACTTGCACTTTCCAGATTCCCGGTATCTGTGATACACTGGTTCCCAGAATCACCTTGGGATCCTTTAGCAGTTTCAAATCTAGAATCAATAGAAATTTGCCACATAAAACACTGAGGATGTTTTTTCTGAGGAAGTTCTTTATGGGTGGCACATCAGCTGAGTGGGTGCATCATGGTGTTCCCATGGATCAATACTAGGCATAAACTCATGTCTTAATTTTCAGGTAGAAGTAGATGGGCAGAAGTTCAGAGGTGCAGGCCCAAACAAGAAAGTAGCAAAAGCAAGTGCTGCATTGGCAGCACTTGAAAAACTGTTTTCTGGGCCTAATGCAGCAAATAACAAGAAAAAGAARATTCTTCCTCAGGTAAGAACTGTCACTTACTTTTTGGACCATTATCCCAGCTCTGGGTTGGTTTTTGATATAGAAAGCAACATTATAGTAAAGTGATGTTAACAAAGGCCAGTATTGTTGGTTGTTTGGGGATAAAAGCCTGGCCCTGCTGCAGTTATGTGGGTTCAGGAGGGAAAGGGAGATGCAAAAGCAGTGTTGTAGCGTGAGGAGAGGACGGTTGTAAGGAGATGGGAAAGACAGCAGGGAGAAGCAGCAGAGAGAGGGTCAGAAGCCAGTGGTGTTCAGTCATGCCCAAATCCGAGGTAAATAAGGCACAGTCTGAGGGAAGSGACTGCCAGGGCTGAGCTGGGAATKTGCTGGGCTCTGCAGGCAGTGACAGGGCCAGGGACCCACTGTGTCCCTGTCACTCACATCCTTTGGCACAGCAGTCTCCAGTCTGTGCTCAGCCAGCCTGGCACATCAGGCATGTTTACAGAGCCCTCTCAAAGGGGGTRATTTAATGCAGGTGGCCTTGTATTCCAGCAACACTTTCACTCTCTGAACTGCTATTTTTTGTCACTCTGGGCAGACTAAAGGGGTTGTCAATACAGCTGTTTCTGCAGCAGTCCAGGCTGTTCGAGGCAGAGGACGAGGTGCTTTAACACGAGGGGCATTTGTTGGGGCAGCTGCTGCTACTGGATACATCACACCAGGTAAGSCACCACACTTGTAGCTGATACTTTGGTTTTTGTCTGCTGGAGTGTTCTTTTTCATTCACCTGTGTGTCATCCACCTGTGCAAGTGATTTCTTTAACCATCTGAAATGAAGCAGAAGGCTTCATGGGGGTTTAAATAAATCAAAGAGAAGCAAAGCTGGCAGAGTGTATCCTTTATGAGTGTACAGCTCAAAGCTTTGTGTGCACAGAGCACATAGTTAGGGGCATAATGGCTTTCCTGGCTTTATTATTTTATGATTTGTCTTCATAGTTCACTGCCATGGCACAATTCCCAAAACTCTCTTCCTACCTAAGAACCTTCTGGATCGTGTGCTGTTTAGCTTTAGGAGTGCCTTTCCCAAAAATCCTTTGTGAACAAAAAATCAACAAGCTCAAGAGTCCCTGAGCTCCCAAAAACTTTCTAAATGAATTCCACCTGGAAGCATCCATAAGTAGCTTCTCTGGTGGCCAGAAATAAAAGAATTTTTTTTCATACTCTGGCTGAAAGTCATCATCCCCTCTGCCCTGTTCTGATTGCAGAAACAGTTTTTGAAGTCCAAGGGCTTCTGTTTCCCATTTCACATTTTCACAAGAAAATGTTAATGAAATGGTCACTTTGTGCATCGTCTTACTTTCCAAAGTGCATTTTCTCTGTGACTCTACAGCATGTCTGAGGTTTGTGAGTGACATGTGAAAGGAATCCAGACACTGTTTTCACTTGTTTTAAGAACCACAGGTTTGTAAGAATGAGATGCTGAAGATGCCTTAGTCACAGCAAATCCAGTAGCATCCAAAAAATAACACTTCTATTCCTCATGCTCAGGTTTTCAGATTACAGCATGAGCTCTAATTACACCCTCCAGCAGCTCACACTTGCTAATAGCACAGCCGTGTTGTTTGGGAGCCTTCCTGCCTGGCACTGTTGGCAGCATATCGTCTTCATTGTTCCTGTATGGTCATGTAATTTTAAATATTAAAACCCAGTAATTCATTTTTAATGGCTGTTAACATTGTTTTTGGAACTGTCTGTCTGCCTGAGGAGTCATTTAAGAGACACTTTAACCTGCCAGGGGCATGCTTCTTGCCAGTGTGGAATTATTCCAGAAATAAGTTTCATTTCCCAGTCGCTGTAGTTAAGCTTTTATTGGCCTTGGCCTTCACAGATTATTTCTCTCCATCCCCTGTTCTCACAAATCTCTTACTTTTTGTGATGACACAAGCAGTCTCACCAGAAAAAAAACCTGGTAAAGCCTCCATGAACTACAGACATGTAGAAACCAGTGCTGGTGTTACCTGTGTTGCTTTCTTTCTCACTTCAGAGTCACACTCTGCTCTCTAGGAAAAAATTAACTGTTTGTGTGGAGGTGTTTACATGTCTTCTGTGGAACTTTGTTAGAAATGGCAGAGAAAGCAGAATTCACAGGAGCTTTACAGAGGGGGATGTGGCATCTGCCACAGGAATCCAGCATTCCCCTCTTTATAAAGGAAATTTAGGAAAATTACTGTTCCTGCATAGACAGCACTTGTGTTTTAAGAAGAATATAAGCAAATATGGGATGTCTGGGTCATGCCATCTCCCTGTTCTGACAGTGCAGACTTAAGGAATTCAGTGGAAAAGAAAATGCTGAGGAAATTAAATAGGAAATTTTAACTCTTTCATGCTGTGGCCTGACCAAGTCCCTGACAGCTTGTTCTTCAGGCTACCATGTAGGAACATTTCAGTGTTTTGAGCAATATTTGTATGTATTGGCRTGAGTTTGGTGTTGCTCCTGCTGCAGGCACAGGATCCCTGCCCCCATGCAGGTGTGCAAACACTGCCAGGTAGTGCAGGGAATGACCCCATCCCTCTGTTTCCCTGCAGGCTATGGAGCACCGTACGGATACAGCACAGCGGCACCAGCCTACGGTACGTACAGCCCCATAATTAACATGATAGAAATGATGCACAAACTGTTGTGGCAGTCCAAATGTGGCAGTCCAAGGAGAAATTCAAAGAGATTAAAGCTCTTAAACCATGACAACAACACCACTTTTATGCCATAACCTTGTGGTTCTTTTTTGGTTGGAGTAGCTTTTTGCCTCTGCTTTGCCTGGTCTGTGGAAGGACTGCTTGTTCTAATTGCCTGTTCCCTTCATACYGGAACCCAGTCGAAGTTCCCTTACTTTTTACAGCCAGTCTGTGCTCCATTCAAAGACTACCGAAGGGCCTATTTCAGCATCTCTGAACCTGATCTAGCCAAATGGCATTACAGTAACATTGGTGAAATGTTTGTCTGCAAGTGTAAATGACTTGTGGACAAAGTTCCCTTAATGCTGTCAACTTTTTGAAGTTTATGGGCAAATACCCCCCACCCCCGCAGGCTAAAACACCACTGCTTGGTACACCAGGATGGGTTTTGGGTGCTTTTGTACTGGTAGCAATCAGTCTGTGAGGCAGCCAGGACATGGTCACTTGCCACAATACTTTTCACTATGAAACATGTTCTATTAGGCTGGCAAAGCACTGGTTTCATGGAGATTATAAAATGAGCTGATAACATGAGAGCTGTGATGGAAGGGTTTTTCTTAACTCGGCTTCTCCCTCCCCACTGGCTTGTTTTACGCTGGACTAACAATGCATTCCTCTAACCGGCCCTTTTGGTTACTTTGAATGAGGTTTATGTGGCAATGGGAGCAGGGCAGTTTGGAGTCAGTGATATGTCCTGGCACACACAATGTGAGCCCACCAGGACCAGTCCCGTGAGCCTCTTCTGTGGCAGGGACTGGTCAGAGTCTGCTGTTCAAATGACCGGCACGTTTCAAGGCCTGGAATTTTTCCCATGGSAAACTTTTGCTTTTTAGCATTTGTAATACTCATTTCTCCCCAATCTGTCTAACTTGGTCAATACCTACTCTCCTGGTTTCATTACAAAAGTTTAAACTATTTTGAAAGGTTGATTTCATGACTTTTCTAGAGGTATGAACTCTAACAGGGCAAAAATGCTGCTGCTTTATGGAAAATTATTTGCTTTGCYTGACTGGGACCAGCTTGTCCAGTTCTGTACTGAAAGGAGAGGGAGAATGGACCCATGGGCTGTGCTCAGTGTGGAACTCTGCCCTCAGAATTGGAGCAAACCTTTCTGGTTTTACATCTGAACTGTCCTCTGACAGAAGGGCAGCTGGCAGCAGGGCTGACCCATGGAGTGTTGTCYTTTCTGATGCATCACAAAAGGAACAGTGACATGTTTTCTTAGGGAAAAATGAAAAGAAATTTAGTTTCGGGTTTTTTTACRCTCCTTGGTTCTTTCCAAGCAACAGTCTCAGACTAGAACTAGGATTAGTGGTTTCTGCATGTGTTTTTACAAGCAGTGACACATTGTGACATGAGGAATCCTTTCCCTGCTGAAGGCAGAAGTTACAACTGTTACCAAGTTTCCTTTCAGCTTTTATTACTATTTTCATTCATTCCTTCTGTTTTGTGGGTTTTTACTTGTTTTGCCTATTTTGGGAGCTGGATTTTAAGCATTTAGCTGTGTATATGTGACATATCACTGACTTCAAAGCATTGTGGAATTGGATGCCCCCATTTTTCACATAAAGAGTTTCTGTTCTTAATGTCTTATGATTGTGATGCGAAGTTCTGGGATAATGCTTTTTGGCTGTAAGGTAAACATGTCTCTTTGCCTTTGTAAGCTGTTGCATGTTGGGAAACTTCACTTTGATCATCTGGTGCTCTGGAATACCTGCTGTTGCTGCTTTGTGATTTCTAAATGGATACACAGGTTAAATACTAGATTTTAAATAGGCAAGATTAAAAAAACCAAACAAACTTTAATTTAATTATGCAGAAGTTTGTGAGGCCACAAGAACTCTAAAATAATAATGAAATCAGGCAGATGTCAATCTTTCCAGATTTACTCCTTCAATGCAGGAGAGGAAGTGCAGAATAAGGAACCAGATGCAGAATTTATTGTAGGTGCTTGATTTTTGGCTGACCTATCTGGATGCTGATCAAAACTGCTGAACAGTTTCCCTGTGAGTTGTATTTATGCACAGCAGTGCCTCTCTAGAATATCTGCARTTGCAACTGGCCTGTGAAATTACCTCCACGTAGAACAAGCAAGTAGTGATTAATTACCATAAAGATTATGAAATAAGAGCTTCAAGTCCAAATACACACTCTTGTTTTGAGAATATCACTTCCTTTAATTTTACCAAACACCAGGATGAAAATAAAGCAGACTTTAAGCTATAATCTGTCTGAAATAGTGTGAAGTGGTGAAGTATTACTGTTTCTGGGACTCTGCACCCTGACATCACATTGACTGACTGATCTGGAAAAGGTTAATGAAAACACTACTGTAAGCTCTTATCTGACTTTCTTGGATTGCTGAACTTATTTGGAGTACTCTCCCTTTCTTCTCTCTGTAGGTTTACCCAAGAGAATGGTTCTGTTACCAGTTATGAAATTCCCAACTTATCCCGTTCCCCACTACTCATTCTTTTAGCAAATGGCAGAAGCTAATTCCTATTGATTGAACAACACAGTACAGTACAGAATGTTAGAAGACAAAAAGCCTTTTTATCCTGTTTTCTTTGAACACATACTTGAGCAAAGTCATTTGTAAAGAAACATCTTTTTCCTACTTTTTGATTTTAACAAAATGCAAATTTAGTTCTCTAAAACTTGAAAAAAATGTTCTGTGAAATGTTACCTCATTTTCAAATAACTTATACCAGCCTTCTGTTATAGGGAAGAACTAGAAGTTTAAATCTTACGTTTTAAATGAAGTATCCGATTATGTAAAATTAAATTTGTGAAGGATGTATAGAATATAAAACACTGATCACAAATAAACTGTTTTGTTGTAACACAAGAGTACTGCCTGTTTCCTAATGCAGTCACACAGACTCAGTTAATGACCTGTATTTGCTGTAGGGTTATTAAATGCAGGGCATAGTTCTTTAAAAAACAAAAATAAAAATTAAAAAAAAAACAAACCACACGATAGAAACTTTACAGTTAACATTTAACTTTGTAAATATTATGGCGTGTAATAAACTTAGTAAAATATGGGTTAAAATATTGTTTTATCTTATTTTTTATAGTTAAGCATCAGTACCTGAGTTTCCTTATAGATCAGCATACTGTAACTGTGATTTTGGACACAGTTCTAATTATCCAAGAAGACTTTTCTCTCATACACAAAATGCTGAAAAACAAATGAAACAAAGGGAATTAGTCTGGCTCTGTATAAGGCTGCATTCTGTGAAACAAGTATTAAACAAAGGAAATTCCCACAGAAGGATGCAATTCCAGGGATACACCTTACACCTGTATTGCCCAGAGAAAGGACAACAATATTACAATCAGGTTCTTTAGAGCTCAAAAGCTACATGTTTTCCTTTCTTTCGTTTTTACAAAAAGAAAAAAAGAGGAAAACAAGAAAAAAAATTGTACTTGTTCTTGTGGCCTTCTTCACTTTTAAGATTGTCTGCCCACCCTTGATTTTCCATCCACCATTTCTACAGAAAGCATTGTAGTTGTCAATTATATATTAAACCAAAGGTTCTCCTTTTCCCCCTTACATTTACAAGAATCTAAAGCAGCAACAAGGTCCCCATGAAAACTTGCTATTTAATTGTCCCAGTTCTTGTTGAGTGCTGCTGTGAAAAAGTGACACACTTCAGCCATAGGCCAGTATTTTTTTAAGAGTTGGTGCTCAAACCCAGAGTCCTCTTTTTGATCAGGAGGGTGTGCACCTGTCTGAAATTCCAGGACAGGCCCCAGGTCCACAATTGTCTCCATGGATTGTGGACTGCTGTGGGCTCTAACGAGGGATTCCAGTGATCTTTATTAAGGTATCACCCCACAAATAAGCAGCATTGTTGGTTGCACTYTCTCCTCAGCCCTCTACCCATTGCTTTTCCATAGGCTGGCTTTAGTTCCTGCTCTTCCCAAGATTTGCCTTTGTCCCGTTCTCTAACAGACTCTGCTGCTGAGGCAAGGGGAGCTTTATCTGTGTTGAGGGTGTTGTAAGATCGGTGCTTAAAGCAACGTCAAGTTCCTCCTCCCCACAGCCCCTTGGAGAGAAATATCAGAAAAGCTGAATAAGGGGTGGCTTATAGAACAAGCTGCTTTCCCTGGAATTAACTGCAGCTGTTATTCTTAAGCTAAGTATTTGTGCTTAGGAATGTGTTTACTTTTCCATGATTCTTCTGCCGTAGCTCTCGCTTCCGTTTGGTGTTGGTGGTACTTTAATAAAACGTAGATGATTGCCCGGGAGGGTGAGCCTGGTGTCACCCACATGGCAGCATCAGAATGCAGAGCAGGGCTCGGGGATGGASTCAAATTGAGAGGTGCTCAGAAATCACTGATCTGTTTTGCTGGCCTATGGATGAAAGGAAGCCATCACGGAGCAGAAAAAGCATGGCTGATCAGAGCCCATTTTTGTTAATCGAATAGTCATTAAAGGAATCTTTCTTCCACACACATTTTTTCCCCCTCTCTTTTGGAGTTCCCCTGATTGGCAACTGTTTGTAGTTTTCTTTTTTTTTTTTTTTTCCTGAATCCCCAGCTTTGTAAAATTCCAAACAAAATATTCTGCAAACCAATTCTTTACAATGAACATTTGTAAGCCAAAAACTTGTTCTTATTTCAAAGACAAGAAGGGCGCTATGCTCTTTTCCAACATGATGGCAGTCATTTCAGATGATTTATAGAAGTCATTTTTTATTTTTTGTCATTTGTTGGGAGTTACTAACCACATTGTAAACTTGCCCCCTTGCTGCATATTTTACATTTCTCTGCTTTACTGAAAATATGAATGAGCTGTCAGTTCTTTGTTTAGAAAGTGGTAACCTTGGAAGTGTTAGATGTTTCAATACCTTCAAAGAATTCAAAGTGCCCATTTTACAATGAAAATTCCACTTGCAGCTGAAAGAGCAGAGAAATTTAAATGGAGCTTTAGCTTCAGCCAGTCTCAGAAATTAACATGAGGTTTTTGCTTCTCTGCTCTTCTCCCACTGTAGGTGGTTTTTTCATTGACAGTCCCTATTGCCAGCCTCTCAGCATCGCACCTTTTATTATTCACTTGGGCCCTCAAGATTTCTTCTCTGACTTCTAGAACCATCAGGTTGTGTGGCTCCAAATGGCATTTTGTACATGTCTTAAAAGCAAGAAAAACGTGGCTCGTTTTGAGGTTTCTCAACTTCAGACATGGAACCTGAGCTTTTTCCTTTTTTTTTTTCTTTTTTTTTTTAAAGTGTTTTTCTCACTTCTTGAACTTTGCTCCATGTAATGAAAAGCAATACTTAGTCCAAGCCACAGTCCTCTCTTTGGGTACATAGCAATAGATGTGTATATACTCCTGGTTATTTCTTTACACTAGAAGGGGAAGGACTGGTGTGTTGGGGCAGGGGGGGGAACCAAACACCAAACCAAGGCACAACCTGGGTCGAGTGCTGCTTCAAGCAGCGAAATCTGCCTTTACTTTCACTATTGAAGTCCTTCAGAATTTTAATACTATACTGTATTTGCATGTTTCCTATAAAAGTTGCTACAGAGCTGTGCAATGGTCACTCCTGAAGCAGCAGTGCTTTGTACCATTGTGCATGTCAGCAGACATGAAATGTAGCAAAATGGCAGAAGAAATAGAATATATTTTTTTTTCCAAAGTGTAACTGAATGGTATATTCTCTCTCCCTTCCCCACATCATTGATAYGAGGCACAAAAATGGCAGGCCTGAAATTGAAAATCAAGGGGATTGCTTTTGTGTCTCTTAAAATCATCACCAAATGATAGGAAAACACAGTATTTGGGAAAAATCCGGATCAAAAAACTTTGCTGCTCTAAATTTACTGAGTTTTCTTTTTCCTCTTGAATATTTGTATGTTGATATTTTGAGATTGTCAATCAGCAATAACTCAAAGGTGAATGTTTTTTTAAATGGTATTGGAACATCTATATGTTGCAGCTTAAGACTTCTAAGCAGTTTTCAGCAGGTTAATTCCACTTTATTCTCATTCTCTCCGGACCTTCATAGCCATATGCACTTGTATAAAATAAGCAGAAATGTAGTGACTGTAAGCTGAGATCGTGATATAAAAGGTAAGAGATTTTATTTTCAGCTTAAAGAATATTTTTATTGCTTTTTTTCTAAAAATCTCATATACTTGTGACAATCTTGTATATGGTACGTTTTTATTATGTCTTGTTAACTCAGTGTTAAAAAAGGTAATACATAGGTCTGAATCCCAACTTTGTGTTTCTCAAGGCTAATTCAAATACTCAAGTTTCAGTTAAAAAAAAACATTACCTAACACTTAAGAAATTGAATTGTTTGGTTTTACCAACAGACTGTTCTTCAAATATTTTTCTCCTGTGCAGCATAAAAAGCTGTGTTGATACTGCTGTGTCAGGCACTGCATTCCCTGCTTCCCTGTGGATACATTTGGGGGTAGGTACCAAAGCCAGACCATGAATGCCACACACCTTGGTTCTGGCTATGTGGGATGGGTGACACTTAATAATGAGAAATCATTTCCCTAAACTATTAAAGCTAAACTCCAAATGAAGAATGAACAACTTTGATGATAYTGCAGTTAAAATCTGCAGAGATCAAATTTAATTCAGGAAGCAGCCAGGTTTGCTTCCCTCCTCTTGGTGCAGTGCAGGACAGGAGGGCAGGCAGGCAGGGATTTATCTCTGCGTGAATCATTTGCTTYGCTGTGGTTTTTTACAGCTGGAAATTAGGATACAGCCATCCATAAATAATTGTTTTTAGTTCTGTAGTAAATGTTTTAACAATATTTTACTTAGATTTAAATGGGTTTRGATTATGACCTATTTGTGCACATGATATGTGTAGTTTTAAAATACTATTTTTTTATTTGTCTTTTAAACCTTGCGTTATGCAAAGTTGCATAGTACAGTACTCCAAAAGTGCAGTACTTGCAGTACTTGAAGTTGCTGGAAACAACTCTTTTTATATAAAAATGGTTAAAAAATAAAAAAGCAAAAGGGAGCAAGTTGACGATGATGTTATCATCATAGCATTTTAGGGTCTCAATTCAGAGATGAAAACATGAACAACCCCTGACTGGTAACAGTTGACACTGGTGTCAAACAGAAAACCACTTGGTACAGAATATGTAGTGGTGAATCAAGCCCAAAGTTCTGCATCAAAATATTAACAGCCAATATAACAAAATATTTGACTTTAATATTGAACCATCAAGTTTRCTAAGTAACTGCATGTATAGGTTATCCTTTCCTCAGGATATTTTTGAATATAATTCATAGGCAAAGAGAAAAAGAGCTGTTCAGTAGTGTCAGCTTTGCTCCTGTGGGCAGGAACTTGCACCTGGGAAATGAACTGAGGAACTGTTTCAGGGGCTGGCCCTGGAAGTGCATAATCCTTCCATGATAACTGATGAGCAACCAGAATGTCCTTCCTGTTCAGGGGGCAGGTTTCCATCTGCTCTTACCTTCAAGGTACAAACTCAGAGCTGGATCTGCAGCTCACCTACAGTTCAATCCCTTTTTGAGCCTGGCAGGCCCAGCAGTGCTGATTCTGGAGCAGCAGGCTGCTCTGCTCCTTCAGATAGGATTTTATATGCATTAAGGTGCATTGTAATGAACTTCTCCTGAATATTCCTTTCCTAAGCTCAATTGCTGTCAGCCTGACAAGCACTGTCCACTTCAAGGACTGACAGTAAACATCTTGCTGACTCTCATTTGATCTGCTTCTTTGTCGACTATGCTTGGCAGCTTAATCCATCTGTTTTTCTTTCCATCAGAACTGCTTTAACTGTGAATTTCCGTATTTTACTGTCATCATTCTTTTAACTCTTAAAATCCTAAGCTTTCCACTTTCCTGTTGTTTTTTAAAAATTTTCAGCTTCGTTGGATCTTTTTGCTCTAGATTTGCACGTACCCAACAGCCAAACACAAACCTGATTCCATATGCTTAATGCAGCTTCCAGTATCATTACCAATTCTGTGGTACCTTCTTAGTGAAACAGAAATGTTATTTTACAGTTTGAATTTCTGGTTCATGGAGAAGAGTTCTGAAAAAGTTCCTTTCAATTAGTACATCTATAAATAGGAGACCAGGGAAAGTCTGTGCCTATACACTACCCACCTTAATGCTAGTTTTAGCTAACCAGATGATCSTATGTATTTTGGGAGATGGTGTCTGGCACTTAAAGGATTAAAAGCCAGAGATTTACAATAAAAAATTGACCTGTTTAATGTATTCTCTGTACTGGAAGGGAACAGCATTACCATTGACTTTGGAATAACATCCGTGAGCTTTGGGGCTCTGCTTCAGTTCTACTTTGCCAGCCACATGAGATTCCTCCAGGCATGCTCAACCTAGAGAAGGGTTTAAGAGTAACCAGGCTGGTTTGGAGGGCTTGGCTAGCTCAAAGCATGATGTGTGGTGCTTCCTGCCATCATGTTCTCTCTCTGCCAGTGCTTGCTGTCTTCCTTAAGCACACATTCAGGAGTTGGAACATGGTGACCTTATTCCTGGGCGTTATGCCAGTTGGATAGAGGGAGGCCAGCCTATGCTCCTGAAGGGAATGTGCAACACGAGGCCTCGGTTGCCCAAGCAATTTCTGTTGGACACAGTGCACAATCCAACCCTCACAAAGGCAATTTAGTGCCCGGGTAGGTGGTTCCTAATCTGTCTAATTTGCTGTCGTGTAGCCARTGTGAGCTAATTAGATGATTCAGCAATCGTCATGGCTCCCCACTTAATGTGCTGTAAATGCTGCTGCCACCACTTTCACTGCTGTTAAATACCTTTGTTTCTGTRAATTCTGTCCTCCTGCCCTGCCTTTTCTGATCATCTTCTGGTACCCCAGTAAATAACTGATATTCTCAAATTATGAAATCATTGCATGTAAGTGTCTAGGTTCTTAAAAAATTTTAATCAGACTGTGAAGCACTTCAGAGAAACTAGTTTTCCTRCAAAAATTTCAACTTATTCATGTGCCAGAGGACTATATCTACTCATTAACAAAGATCTGAAAACTGTTCCAGTATCTCTGATCCCTGGAGACAAGGATTCTTTCTTTGAGAACGCTTGCCTTCCGGTAGGAAGGATAGGTTTAAAGTATGTCTTAATAAAAGACTGTGTCCTCAAGCCCCTTAAAGAACTTAATTGGGAAAAAGTGCACTAATCTAAAATTATTTGAGACTTTTTGCTTTCATTGAGCTATTGAGAATAATTTCACTGACAAGTTCCTCAGATTATTAGGATGTAGAAAATGCAGGAGGCGTATGAAGATTTTTCAAACAGTCTAGGAAAAAAATCTGTTTGCTGGCTGTTCACTTATGGGACATCATTCTCTTGTCACTTCTTAATCTCCAAGACAGCAATAAATGTGAGCAGCTTTAACGTACCATCTCTGATCCAGTCCCAGCAATGTCCCTTGGAGAGTAAAGCCAGGCAGTCCATGTCTTTTCACCAATTCCCTGAAATAAAGTGTCCCTTCCTTTATTTGTAATTCTGGATCTGTACTTCTGAGCCAGTCTAGAGGTGGGATTGCTGAACATCTCTCCAGATCTGTATAAACAACAAGATAATATTTCAGTTTTTACTCAGACAAAACTGCAAGTTTCCTTCTGCCTCTTGTGCTTGGTGTGCCAAGATATGCTCACTTGGTATTAGAACTTCTTGCCTTTAGCTAAATTCTCTTAGGACAGTTGCCTATTACTTAATCAAGGRAAAGCTATGTCCCAGCCTCACTAAGTTCCAAGTCACCAAGCAGCTTAACAAACACAGCTCTTATTTCCGGTAACTCTGGGAAACAGCACAAGAACTCTGCTGCTGTGGATTCCTTTGGATACATGATGAGATGTGTAAACATGAAATTCAGATTGTTGTTCTCAGTCATGAAGCTGACTAAGACCTCCCCTCTCTGGCATCAAAAGAATGAAAATGAGCTCTGTGCTGGGCACACTGAGGATCTTTGTTAGGAACTGCTCTGTCTCAAAAAACAGTAACTCAGCTCAAATGCTCAGCACACAGACCCTCTTGGGCTTCCTGCTGAATAATCCAGTGAAAAATGAGATATTTTATTGACTTGTTTAAAGCAAAGCAAAGAGACAGTGTAGTTGAATCTATAGTACAGGAGACAGCCTGTCTAATGGCTCATTTCATTCCACTGGAAGAGGAAATTCTGCTAAAGTCATTTTAAAACACTTCACCAGAGAAACCCAGCACTGAAGTCCTGTGCCTACGGACCGTGGCAGCAGTTTCACACATACTTTCTTTTGAACATAAACCAGTTAAGCTAGTGGTTAAGTATTTGGCATTGGGAGAATTATAAGCACTGAACTTTTTTATTACTTAACCCCAGAGTTATGTCTCCTTAGCTTTGTGTCATCCAAATCCCTATTTATGTTCAGGTGTTCTAGTGCTTCCTTCTTCTGCTCACAGAAATGGGACTGATTCACTTGTTGGTTTATAACTCATATGTGAGATAATACAAAAACACAAGTAGGACACATCTGCCTATTCCTCTGTCTGGGGTCTCCTAGGAGAAAAGGGGGCTCTCCCTGCCAGACCTGTCTGATGCTGTGCAAGGCAGCGCTTTACTGTGAGTGGTGTGAGGTAAGAGAGAAGTTCATCAGACAGTAAGGTTTAAATTCAGTCAAGTGTTTTTTCTCCAGTTCCTATGATTGCATGAAACATTCAGACCACATTGTTTACCTTGATGTTTGTGAGGAGCTGAATGTTCAAAAGTGGTGTGAGGAGATGCACAGTTCTAAAGCATATCTCTTATTTTGGATGTTGTTTTATTTGTATTTAGTGCCTTAACTACAATTTAAGGTCATAAATACTGTACCAGAGGTAGTTTAGTAGTTAAATGTACTTGAAAAGAACCCACCAAGCCTAGTCTATAGAAACTATTGTACAGACTGAAACCTTCTCAGGGGGTGAGTACTGTTCCATRTTTAATTAATAATCCACCGATAAGTGCGAGTTGTAAGAATGTAGAGAGCATATAAAAATTTGAATTGCAGAGATAGAATTTATTGGAGACTGAATTTATCTGATTTCTAACTTCAAAGGTTTGGGATAAGATGATTAAAGCTGCAGTCTCTTCTATGCTGTGTAAGTAAACAACTTCAAAATGTTAACTCACCAGCCAGAMCTGCATGTTTGTGAAAATCTCTTGACTGTTAATCTCTAGTAAAACAAATAACACTTAATTTTAAAAGGCATTAATTGGACGTAACTAGCTATCCTTCACTGGTTAGYACAACAGAGCTGGAATGAGTGAGAGATGCAGTTAATTTTTAATTAATTAAACTTCAGCCTCATTCATACCTCTTACCAGGATCCAGAAGCTCCAGCTGCCTTACGCTGCTTTGCAGTTCACAAGGTGTAGTGCAGCACAGGCTTGAACACAGGATTCCTGAAGTCATCTGGTCCTGGCAAAACGCACTATCCAAGAGACAGAGAGAAAAGATAATAATGGAAGTAGAATGTCCTTCTCCAGACTTAGAGGTAGAGCATCATAGATAGGAAGTTGGAGGGAATGTTGCAGTTCCTTTTCCAAGTCCAATAAGAGAGTCTGGAGTAAAACCAGGGGGTTTATGTATGCTGGGGAAAGTCTTAGTGTACTACGAGCAGAGGGAGAGGGTATTGCTTTTTCAATCGTTAGTGGTTAGGTGAGAGGTTTAAGCTATCCATRCAGCAGGCTAAAAGCTGCTAATGATGTTGCTACAGGAGACTAATTTCCTTTCTTCTGTTCAGTAAACAAGTCCAGGATTGCAGGTTTTCCAGAGGARGAACAGGAGAAATCCAATGGACAAATTCTTTTTCCTGATGCAGCCCTACCCTACAGGCAGTGTACAGAGCATGCAAATAAATTTTGGAAGGGAAAGGAGTAATAGTAATTTCCTCATTAGGAACACTGGTTAGTTATTTCTGCAATRCCCACAGTATTCTAGACAAGCTGCYTTTACCCAGAGGAGCATGGCAACAAGGGAAAGCAAATAATGCTCCCACAATGACCTGTGTAATGTACACATTTTAGGTCACCAATATTGGTGTAACTCGTTACAACAAAGCAGGTTCACCTTACCAGCAAAGTGTATTTTGACATTCTATCTACTTCTATTTTTTAAGCTAAAGGGGAGTTAATCATAGCACTCATCTGTTTCGAAGGGARTAGAGCAGAAGGTAAGTTTTAACTTCATACTTCAAAGCTGCTATGAATAGATTAACAGTGTTCCATGGAAACAACCTGATGTATTTCTTGATTTTTTTTTGAGCTTCATTTCTGTGTTCTTGCAAAAGCACAAGCTTGCATAAGCCTAATCAATACAAAGTTACTCAGGGTACTGCATCATCTCAGCAGTGGACACTAACTGCATCTTAAGTCAACAGGCACACATAAATCAAGCTTAATTAAGAGGAACAGGATATGTTGGCAAGTTTTGCTTTACTACTGGCACTGCTACAATTTAATGATCTATGCATACCGAAATGTGTGTATTGCTGCACTCACAACAGAACAGGAGTTCTGTTAGGGTGTCCTGTAAACTAACAAAGTCAGGGTAGGAGAGACAGTATTTATTCTTCTGTCATCATTTTCAGAAAGAACAGTTTCTAAGCAGATGGAAAATCACTCTACTCAAAGGAGAATAATGGTGGGCTAGAGAACAGCATTCAGTGCAGTACAGCTTTTGAAGAGTTARTGATCCTATGAATTTAATTCTGAAAATTATGATTTGCTGTACAGATTCTTTCCTGTATTTTCAAATTCATATCACTGCTTCCCTGCTCAAAATAACAGGATAAAGACAAATGTAGTTTTCTAATAACATCTATTGCATGGAAATCCACATACACTGGAGGAAAAGGGAGGCTGTACTGCAGAGAGCATATTCAACTACAGAGCCATTCTCTGGGCAATGCTGCATAATTTARGAGTGGGTAACCATGCCTTCAGGGACAACATGACACAGAGCAGATGGTTAAAAARAAAAATCACAGAAAAAAAGCCTCCAAGCTTTGTCCAGTCATACATTTATTCCTCCCTGCAAAAGGGGACAGGTACATTCATACAAGCATAATGAGTTATCTGCCAGGCATCACAGAGGTCCTTAAGGACAAATGTTTTGGAGCCAGTCTCCTTTTGGACAGAAAAAGGAAGAAGTTGACTCTGTCTTCCAGTTCCAAGGTGCAGTGTCTTATTTCTCATGCTAACCCTAAGTCAATATTTATTGATCAAACTGACTAAGCTTTTTAGGCTGACCAGCTCTCTACGAAGCAATTCTGTTCTCTTGAGCCTCTGCAGGGGCCAGTAACTGGTGCTTAACTACTGCTTCCGCTCCGGAATGTCACCGTCCTCCAGCTGCCCCAGAGCCAGGCTGGGACACTTGCACTTCTCAGAGAGCAACACTGCTGGGGGCTCTCAAAAGCACTGAAGTACTACAGCAGAGCAAGTCCCAATGGGCTGTACACTTTTTAAATCCTGTCTAGTTCTTAAGTGACAAAGTTGAGCATGAAACCTGTACTGCCAAATGAACCAGCCCCTTGCTGAGAAGGGCATCAATGGGAAGCAGTCTCAGAARTGGAGATTTTGAGGAATGGCTGGTGTTTTCCAAGGCCAACTCATAGGAGTTTTTTTAAAAGGGTTGAGTTTCCACTCACCAAAAATCACCATCAATCAAATCAATTAAAATTGCTGCTAATTTGGGCTAAAATACCACCTCTAGGTAACCCAAACCACCATCAATCCATCCATCTAAAGACTCCTCAGAAGGCAGAGCCCTTCTGACAGGAAAACTGGCAGTGAAGTAGCATGTGACTTTACAGATGACAATTACTTCTCCAAGACAAGGAAAAGACAGAGGGAGTGCTTTGGGGCAGTGTTTCATGCTCAGCAAGTTTGTAGAGGGAAGGAATGCAATTCTATAAATCACTTGTACTGTATTTGTTTCTAGACTTGAATGAATTTCACTTTTCCTTTGTGAGTCAGCATATTAAACGTTAAAGAAAAGGTCTATTTTTCTAAATCTCTTTCACCAGTAGAGGTCTGACCTGCAGCCAAGAGATGGATTTATTTATCCACAGAGGATGGAGTGTTTATTTTTAAACTAAGATTGGATATGGCATTGAATAAAAAGAAGTATGACCTTTAAACTATCTAAACCTTAAACAYTATGAATGAATTCCACAAATGAGTAATATGGTGGACAATTCCATCTTTCTTCCCAGTAAATCTCTCTCTAAAGAAGTTACCCTGAATTAAACTTCCAAATGAAGTACAAGAGATCCTTGTGGTCTTAATTACAGACTACTTTCAAAATACTTCAGTTTTCTCTCAATTTGTAATCAGTAGAGAACAATGRTGACTGAATTATTCCCAACTATAAATAAAGCAATTTCAAATAAAGTAATTTGGCRACAACCATAGCTATTTATAGCACTAAAAATGTAATTTGAACATTCCAATTTTCTTAATTTGGTAGCAGTTGAGTGGGAAGAAAAATAACTGCACAGTAATTTTAAATTGAGCTGTATCTACTCACTAGCCAAAAAAGCCTGCAAATGTAAAGGGAACGCTCTTTGTACCTTCAGTTGCTTCCTCCCGTGCTGCTGTACCCCATACACTTGGCTTCATTTGGCTTCTGTGCTGTGGTTTGTACGCCAGCCACTGTTACTGACTGTACACAACACCATCTGCACTGTAATCTCGGGTCATTTGCCACTGATTGTAACTCAACGCTACAGACTTCTCTGTATATAAAACCGGAACCATGTCCCATTTACTTCCAATAGCTCCAATAAAGACTTATCTCTGTAAACAGGAATTACAGCCTAATGATTGGTTAGGGGGGCTTTGGTTACAGTGAGCAAACTTGCCTTCAAGGGGTTTCTGAAGCCGGGGTAGCCAAACCACAGAGGTCCATTCTGCCGGAGTCAGCTAACAGGCTCAGCAGAGAGAAGCTTCCAAAGGCTGCAGCATTAGCAGAGATGACCTGGAGATGCAAGCATAAAGCACATTTATGCTGGAACAAGCAGAAAGCATTCCTTTACAGAAGTGAAAGTGAACAGAGCATACAGCATTGCAGCTTGTGAGGGCTGCTGCACAAAAGCATCTCTGGGGGTTTGCCTTGGAAGCAGTACAAAAAAAGCCCAGAGAAGGGTTGAGATCAGCCAGGAAGGCACATTTCACTCCAAAAAGGAAAACTGRAGAATTCCTAATATTTAGCTAATTACAAATACTGGATATTTGCTTAAAAGATAAATTACACATATAAAGAACAAGTAAGATTCTCTCAAACTTCTCTCCACCCCTCTCATTTCACTGCATTTCTTAAACATTAAATTCCTGTGGTCCCACTTGGTCCTCTGAGGTACAAAGCAAATCCAAGCAATTTCCTTGTCCGAAGCCACTCAGGACAGGAGTTGGGGATACCATGACAATTGTGTGGCTGGTGTTATTTGCTTGAGGTTGCAATTCATGGTAAAATTTACTGAAATACACACATATATCCAGTTGCCTGGAGTTACAGAACCCAGCTTTATTCTAGAAGAGAAGTCATTGAACAAGGAGTCTAAACTTTTCTTAGAAGTGTTTTTCTGGTCTTGAAATGCTGAACGAAGTCTGAGTGCAGAGGTCATTAATCAAATTCAGAGGAGATCAGACTTGAGAAGGGATTTAAAACTGTTATGAACTGACTATAATTGAGATTGCTCTTAATGAAATGGGACGTATGAAATCCCACAACTTAGAACGTATGATAACTGGACCAGTATGAGACTGTTGCCGACAAGTCAGTGTGCAGCCAGCCCAGTCTGCTGGTGTACCGCAAACACGTCAGTCATGCACAAAGAGCTACTCAGGGACARCTGTACCAAACCAAACTAAACCATGCATCACTTAAAATTCAGAGCTGTATCAAATATTTAGCAAGTAAGATCCACAAAGAACCAAACAGAGTCACTTAAGAAAACATCATGAACACCTGACTGAAASGGAAGTCAGTCTTACCTAYGGYGTTAGCATAACGCCTGTCTGTGCTSATGCCTGATGTTAGCTGGCTCACTAAGAGTCATTCCGAAAGCTCCYTTGGGATTATCATCTCGGAGGTGCTGAGAAGGCCGACAGCTCTTCGGCAGCAGCCTGGCAACTGCTGGTCAGTGACAGCTCCCAAAGCGAGCTGGGCCCACTCCAGGGGCTGGCAAGCATTCTGTGGCCTCGCAGGAATGGAAGAGGGGCAGATATAAGAGTGGATCATAGGAGAAGCCACACAATACTGAGCCTAGACTGATGAAGGAGGTTGGCACATCCTTCTTTCTACACTGTGAAAATGCCTGGCATTTCCTACTCAGTTTTACTCCTGTCCTGGTGTAGCGAAACTAAATTTGCCCAAGCAGTTACAGGGTATCTTGCTTGGATAAACAGGGAAGCTGTGATTTATGGCCCCTCATCCCCCTCCCATCCCCTTCAAACCAACAAATACCCAAGCCCATCTACTTTCTCTCAGCAACCTGCAGTGCCTCTCACTATGAATCTGCAGCTGAATGCACAGAATKAAATCTGCAGCAGAAAGCTCCCCCATTTCAGGCCCTCCCCAACACTGCTTGACTGTTCCATCCCTTGCTGGCATGGCACTGAAGGGATCCATGCAGAAGAAACCATCTGCTTAACAAGCAAGATGTCCAGTTTATCTTGCTGCAATCAGCATCACCTTGGAAAAGTATATTTGATTACAGAGGAAGAAGGAAAAAAATACTGATTGACGTCTAAGCAACTAACAGCCTGAGCCTGTAACTCCCATGTGCAAAGAACTGCAGCATCTATMMACCTGCCCAAAACAGCACCCCTGGTTCTGCAAGAAGTGTCACCTCACTTAATTGCTCACAACATAATGCTGACTTTGGTGGTTTGTTGCAGGGTTGAGTTCCAGCAAGTCAGCTAGAAAGAGTTTTTCCCATTTGCTAAGCTGTAAATTATCCTTCTCTTTTGTGACCCCAATACTTGGTAGAATCAACTGAAAGAAACTAGAGCTGCCACCACTTTCAGGGTCCTGATTTCATCTTCACTTTGGGCTACACATTCCAGCACATTTATTTGTAAACCTATAAAAAGCCTGTGTGTACTCTTGTTACAGTTACAACAAAAGGCCCTTTCTTTTGCTCCAGGCATGAATATGGGGCAAAATCCTAAAAAGGCCTTTAGATCCCAAAAAAGGGTCACATACCCTGACCAAGTAACACTTCCCCCTTCTCCTTTGCTTAGGTGGTGGCATATACCAAAGGTGAGATTTTCTGCCTACAATAACGGCAGGCTCAGCTCTCTGCTACTTTGAACTACCTTTCTTGGAGACAGCAATTGAATAAAATCTGCACAGCAGTTTTCTTTTCTCTGTGTAGCATGAACTGATCAGCCAGATCAGAAAACTGCATCAGGAGTCATTCCAGTGTCCCGTCCCAAATAATATTTGCAAACTTGGCTCCAAGGCCCCCCTTTCCCCCACCACACTGCTAGCTCTGTGCATGAACAGATGATCTCAGCAGGGAGTTTAAACACACAGCTTGGATGTTTTCATGGCACACACTAACTGAGCTCAGCATGARGAGGGCTTCTGCTCAGAGCTGGCAGCTTGCAAGTCTCATCTCTTCTGCACCTTCTGGAGCCTCAGAGCCCAGAATGGCCATGATTCCATCTTAAACACTGCAGAACCTTCCTAAAAACCATGACTTTTGTCACACAAGCTGTTGATTAAGGTGGACCTCTGTAACTCCATTTCTGAACCAGCCTGCTCACTCCCATAAAACAACCTGCACTTAGACTCCAGATCACCTCCGGTGCCCGCAATGTTAAGCCACACACCAAGGGCCCTTAAAGTGAGATTCATGAGACCAAGTCATGTCACCTTCAGCTGCAACTCAAGCTACTAAAGCTGATTAAAAAATACTTTTACCCTAACATTTTAACCAACACACATTTATAAGATTTTTTATATTCTGAAAAACTTCTGTGATAAACTTTTTGCTACAAACTTTTGCTATATCTCCTATCTCAACCATTATTAGTAAGCAGAGAAAATGATTTACCAGTACTTCAACTCAAGTTCAAGGTGTATTAGAAACATACCCCATAGGTTTACTTCCAATCTTACTACACTTCCTCCTAGAAGATCATTTTTGTACAAGGACATAATAAAACTTTACAGATTTGTAGAACAATACGGAATGTTCCAGTCATGTAACTGCTCCAGTTATCACTCAGATTGTAGATTTTTAATTTCCTAGAAGGAAATGAGAGTCCGCACAGAGCAGAAGTCTTTGCTAAGCACCTAAATTTGCATTTCTGGCTGGATGCTATTTGGCATCCTGACAGATTCTGTCTTTCATTAGTTCATTGCTTTAATTACCTAACTGCTGAATTTTACTTTAACTCTATAAAATATGGGTAACATTTAATTTCACATTAAAAGATTATTCAACAAAGATAATGTCTGTGCAAAACCCTGCTATTTAACATTGCTCTTTGGAAGTCTTGCAGGGTCCAGGACTTTTACAGTGCCATCTGTGGCAATTTCAATTATACCAATTTGGGTCAAACACTGTAGTAAAATTATTCAATTAAAAATACAAGGTATTTCACAGAATTGGCTAGCAAACTGCTTTTGCAGTTCTTAAGAGTAAAATCAGGTAAATCATATTCTCTTCCCATTACTTTTGGAATAAAGATCATAAAGTTGTATTTACAACAGAGTTTATCCTACATGTTTCTATGCACTGCATGTATAAACCTACAAACTACAGTAATATTTTTTCTATAATCACTAGTAACTGCACAGAAATAGCCTCCCTTTAACAAGTGTGATTCTAAGATTGTAAAGGTGGATTTATTTTTCCTTTTATGAGCTTTCCATACTCCCAGTATCAGAACACAACCAAGATTGACCAGATCCTCTAACAGGGTGGAGGAATCCATGAATTACTTAACCAGGAGTCAGTGGTGTGATTGGTTTCTCATACAGGTTCTCCACAGGGAGAACAGCCCACGGCACCCACTCATCACATTACAGATCAAACGGCTCCACTTTCTTAGCTCTCACAGCCTATTTCAAAGGTTTCCACCTCAGGAGGCCTCAGCTCAGACCTGCCTGTGACAGGCTGCTGTGAACATCACCCACCTCCTGCTGAATGCACTGCCTTCCTCAGCCTGAGGGACCTGGGGGTGTCTGCAAGGAGAAAAGAACAGACGAGGCCATTCAAATCCCGTGCAAACAAAGAGAAAATTCCACATCTTCTCCACAAGCGCCATTAATGCACTACATGTTCTGTACATGTTTTCCCCAAAGTATCACTCATCTTCAATGGTGATTGTTTGGATCTAAAACTCTACTGTCCTCTGCTGCCCTCATTCCCTTCTGACACCCACAGAGTCTGAAGAGATCTGTGAGGATCTGCATGGTTCCCTCAGGAAGCGCCGCCCCGCCCGAAGGCTACTGCTGCCTTCCAGCCCAGAAGCTCAGAGGTGTGCCCATGCCCACGCTCCGCACCTCCATTTCTCCGAGCAACCCCTGCCCGGGCCCCGCTCCAAGGCTCCTTCCCCCAGCGACGCGCTGCGCTCTCGCACCCTCAGGGTAAACAAAATGGCGCCGCGGGCCCTTCCCCGACCCCGGGCTGCTCCTGCCAATCACCCGCCAGCCAATCAGAGCTCGCCGTGAGCCCGCCCACAGAAAGCGCGGGAAGCGTGAGGGCTCTGAGGCGGCGCTCGGCGGGGATGGCGGAGCCGGAGGGCTCGGGGTGTCCTTGAGCTCCTTCTCGGTTAAATCCACCTCGGACACTTCGCTTCCACTCACTCCCCAGTCAGCAGGAACTTACACCACCATAGAGGAAACACATTTGAATTTAATTCAATGTGAAACCAAACGAACATGGCTCCCCCCCAGCAGAGCTCTCCTGCTCCCCTCACAGCCCGAGTTTCCTATTGGGGCCAGTGTATCCCAAGGAAAGCCCTGAGTCTTGGATTACACTGTCGTGTTCGTTAGCATGCAGAAAGCACAGCAAAACTAAGCCTGTGTTGCTCAAACACATTAGGATGTGCAACGGTAAGTTGTACCAAAATCTATGTATAAAGAGACCTAGATGGTCTTTGGCAATACAGTAGGAAAAATACTGCACAATAAAGTGATGGGAAAAGGGAAGAAAAATGCAAATAGAACGCAATCCCTGGCGTGTCCACTGATT